ACACCCACCTATGTGCCTTACCGCCCCTACTACCCCCCACCCCCATTAAACAATGCCCCTAAAACCCCCCTAGGGCCCCTACCCACATTAAGCAATGCATCCCCGAAAACCTCCAAATCTTTTCAATTACAAAAAAGAAAGAAAAGAAAAAAACAGTTAACACCCACCTATGTGCCTTACCGCCCCTACTACCCCCCACCCCCATTAACCGATGCATTCCCGTAGGAGCACCTATTTTCTTTAGGGAAAAAAACAAAAACAAAAACAGTTCACCAATTACCGCATTTCCACATCATTCATGAGCTAGAGACCCAAACCACCTATGTGCCGTACCGCCCCTATAACCCCCCTAGGGCCCGTACCCATGTTAAGCAATGCATCCTGGGGAACCCCCAAAAAAAAACAGTTAACACCCACCTATGTGCCTGACCGCCCTTACTACCCCCCACCCCCATTAACCAATGCATTCCCATAGGAGCACCTATTTTCTTTAGGGGAAAAAAAAAAAAAAAAAAAAACAGTTCACCATTTATCACATTTCCACAACATTCATTGGCTAGAGACCCAAACCACCTATGTGCCGTACCGCCCCTAGAACCCCTCTAGGGCCCCTACCCACATTAAGCAATGCATCCCCGGAAACCTCCAAATCTTTTCAGTTAGGAAAAAAAAAAAAAAAAAACAGTTAACACCCAGCTATATGCCTTACCGCCCATACTACCCGCCACCCCCATTAACCAATGCATTCCCATAGGAGCACCTATTTTCTTTAGGGAAAAAAAAAACAAAAAAAAACAGTTCATCATTTACCGCATTTCCACATCATTCATTAGCTAGAGACTCAAACCACCTATGCGTCGTACCGCCCCTAGAACCCCCCTAGGACCCCTACCCACATTAAGCAATGCATCCTCGGAAACCTCCAAATCTTTTCAATTAGAAAAAAGAAAAGAAAAAAAAAAACAGTTAATACCCACCTATGTGCCTTACCGCCCCTACTACCCCCCACCCCCATTAACCAATGCATTCCCATAGGAGCACCTATTTCCTTTAGGGGGGAAAAAAAAAAAAAATGGTTCACCATTTACCGCATTTCCACATCATGCATTCCTAGACACCGAAACGGCGAAACCGCCTATGTGCTACCGCTCCTAGTACCCCCACCGCCCCCCCCCCCCAAAAAAAAAAGAAAAAAACAGATCATCCACTGATGTCGTTTGAACGACGATGCAAAAAAAACAAAAAAAGAAAAGGGATACCTCTACCCCGGCCCGCTCATCCCATTCCATCTTTCCCCATTTTCCACAACATGCATGAGTCTCTTTCACGACATTGAGGACGGTTCAACATACTTGCACAGTTGAACTCACCTCAATTCATGTCAACGAGGCATGCCCTTGGATTGCGAACACAGTGGACTGCCTTGTGACCCTCACCTTCTTTTGTAATGTTGTGGGTTGCCACACCATGCACAGGCACCACCAAAGAAGTTATGGGACACCGTCACACCTGTGCTAAAACAGAAAACAGAAACACATCTCCCCACATTCTCCAAAACACGAGACAAAAACACATCTACGGCCTACGGCGTGGCAAGTTGGTAACAGCGGCACGACGTCTACGACACCAAAAAAAAAAAAAAAAAAAA